AAATATGCAGCTGGAAATTGCCTATTATATGGCGCTAAATCGGGATAATGATGATAACTATAGGGATTTGGTAAATAGCTCATATTTAGAACACTTTTTGGATATGCAGATTTATGAGGAATTTCAAAAGATCTACTCTCTCTACTAAGAAAGGAGTTATGTGAGCAATATTGCTTTGCGGGTATTAATAGATTATCATTTGGCACTTGATGCTCTCGGTTTTGATGTAGATTGTAGGGATACAAATAAGGTCTATAAATTTGGGAATATTGTGAAGGTATTAGCTCGGCAGGGGAATTTTCAGTTACTCGAGTGTAATTATAAGAATTTGTTAAGGTAACCGAATTTGCGATTGATGCTTGACTCGTTATTGATTTGTGCAGATGATTATGATGATTAGGAATTCTATATAAACGTAAAGGATTATAAGTTGCAAATGATGTGCAATTTGTTTGTGCTTGGGTATATATAAGACTATATAGATTGGTTGTAGATGTATTTGAAGTTGTTGAAATTTGGTCGCTTGACCTATTTTGGGTGTCCTTGAAAATGCTGACATCGTGTTGAGTTAAGTCACTTCCCAGCCTTTGTCTCTTTGAACCTGATATCCTTAAAGATTCTTTACATGTTTTCCTTGGAGTTAATTTTCTTCTTATGTGTTTTAATCTACACTGTTGATCTTGATCCTCTTCGAATGTTTGTTTCAGGGGACAGTTTAGATCCAAATTCTGCTCAGGAATTGAACGATATGCATTGAAACCATCTATTTCCTTTGATATAGCTTCTCTATTCAAATCAAACGAACTTTCCGATGTATTCTTATAGACAGACCTATGCATTGCTTCATCTACAAATGTTTGCAAAGAAGTTATTGGACTATCTTTAAAAGTAGGACCTATATAAGATTCCAAATTTGAGTGTTTAAAACTGTCGACAGATTCTTTGTTAAGATTAGGCCATATTTGTTTAAGTATATCATTATCGGTTAATTTTATATCGGAAACTATTGACACATCTGAATTTTTCCCTTTTAGATTTCCACTATTATCTGGTACTGGAACTTTTTGGAGGGAACTACATTGCATATCTTTAAAGTTGATTTTTGGACATAGTATATCGGATGTTTTAAACGTGATCGTTTTTGTTGGCATCGTATCCGCTTCTATTAGTATTGTTACTGTTTCCTGTGGGTCTGTTGAGTTTGTGGGAGGTTTGTTTAAAGACGTATCTTGAGACCTTGAATGAAAGATTTATAAACTTTTTATTATATAAAAAAATCTTCTCTTAGAACAGAACTAGAACTGAAAGCTAAAACTGACAGAATTAGAACTGACAGATCTAGAACTGAACTAGAACTGAACTAGAACTGAACTAGAACTGAACTAGATCTGAACTAGAACTGAACTAGAACTGAACTAGAACTGAACTAGAATTGAACTAGAACTGAACTAGAACTGAACTAGAACTGAACTAGAACTGAACTAGAACTGAACTAGAACTGAACTAGAACTGAACTAGAACTGAACTAGAACTGAACTAGAACTGAACTAGAACTGAACTAGAACTGAAACTGAAGAACTGAACTAGAACTGAACTAGAACTGAACTAGAACTGAACTAGAACTGAACTAGAACTGAACTAGAACTGAACTAGAACTGAACTAGAACTGAACTAGAACTGAACTAGAACTGAACTAGAACTGAACTAGAACTGAACTAGAACTGAACTAGAACTGAACTAGAACTGAACTAGAACTGAACTAGAACTGAACTAGAACTGAACTAGAACTGAACTAGAACTGAACTAGAACTGAACTAGAACTGAACTAGAACTGAACTAGAACTGAACTAGAACTGAACTAGAACTGAACTAGAACTGAACTAGAACTGAACTAGAACTGAACTAGAACTGAACTAGAACTGAACTAGAACTGAACTAGAACTGAACTAGAACTGAACTAGAACTGAACTAGAACTGAACTAGAACTGAACTAGAACTGAACTAGAACTGAACTAGAACTGAACTAGAACTGAACTAGATCTGAACTAGAACTGAACTAGAACTGAACTAGAACTGAACTAGAACTGAACTAGAACTGAACTAGAACTGAACTAGAACTGAACTAGAACTGAACTAGAACTGAACTAGAACTGAACTAGAACTGAACTAGAACTGAACTAGAACTGAACTAGAACTGAACTAGAACTGAACTAGAACTGAACTAGAACTGAACTAGAACTGAACTAGAACTGAACTAGAACTGAACTAGAACTGAACTAGAACTGAACTAGAACTGAACTAGAACTGAACTAAAACTGAACTAGAACTGAACTAGAACTGAACTAGAACTGAACTAGAACTGAACTAGAACTGAACTAGAACTGAACTAGAATTGAACTAGAACTGAACTAGAACTGAACTAGAACTGAACTAGAACTGAACTGAACTAGAACTGAACTAGAACTGAACTAGAACTGAACTAGAACTGAACTAGAACTGAACTAGAACTGAACTAGAACTGAACTAGAACTGAACTAGAACTGAACTAAAACTGAACTAGAACTGAACTAGAACTGAACTAGAACTGAACTAGAACTGAACTAGAACTGAACTAGAACTGAACTAGAACTGAACTAGAACTGAACTAGAACTGAACTAGAACTGAACTAGAACTGAACTAGAATTGAACTAGAACTGAACTAGAACTGAACTAGAACTGAACTAGAACTGAACTAGAACTGAACTAGAACTGAACTAGAACTGAACTAGAACTGAACTAGAACTGAACTAGAACTGAACTAGAACTGAACTAGAACTGAACTAGAACTAAACTAGAACTGAACTAGAACTGAACTAGAACTGAACTAGAACTGAACTAGAACTGAACTAGAACTGAACTAGAACTGAAATAGAACTGAACTAGAACTGAACTAGAACTGAACTAGAACTGAACTAGAACTGAACTAGAACTGAACTAGAACTGAACTAGAACTGAACTAGAACTGAACTAGAACTGAACTAGAACTGAACTAGAACTGAACTAGAACTGAACTAGAACTGAACTAGAACTGAACTAGAACTGAACTAGATCTGAACTAGAACTGAACTAGAACTGAACTAGAACTGAACTAGAACTGAACTAGAACTGAACTAGAACTGAACTAGAACTGAACTAGAACTGAACTAGAACTGAACTAGAACTGAACTAGAACTGAACTAGAACTGAACTAGAACTGAACTAGAACTGAACTAGAACTGAACTAGAACTGAACTAGAACTGAACTAGAACTGAACTAGAACTGAACTAGAACTGAACTAGAACACTAGAACTGAACTAGAACTGAACTAGAACTGAACTAGAACTGAACTAGAACTGAACTAGAACTGAACTAGAACTGAACTAGAACTGAACTAGAACTGAACTAGAACTGAACTAGAACTGAACTAGAACTGAACTAGAACTGAACTAGAACTGAACTAGAACTGAACTAGAACTGAACTAGAACTGAAGAACTGAACTAGAACTGAACTAGAACTGAACTAGAACTGAACTAGAACTGAACTAGAACTGAACTAGAACTGAACTAGAATTGAACTAGAACTGAACTAGAACTGAACTTGAACTTGAACTAGAACTGAACTAGAACTGAACTAGAACTGAACTAGAACTGAACTAGTTTTTTTATATAAAAATATTTGTTTCTATATAAAACTTATAAATAATAAAGTTTTCTATAGAAAATAATCGATTATTAAATTTGTTAAAATGTTACTTTCGGAGTTTGATGAGATCCAGGTAATTAAATGGTTTTCCGAAATGAGATATTTTTATTTATATATCGAAAAACTATAAAGATTTCAAATGTTTATTATGGAAAACCCATTATGGGTTAAGAAGATGATTTAAATGATAACTAAAACTACATATAGTAATACTAAGAAAAAATAAGAGCAATATTTGGACAGGCTGCAGCAGCTTTTTTTTAAACTTGGAGGACATAAGTATATGGATCACGACAATCTAGTTGAGGGTAGGGTCCAATCAAGGGGGTAGGCAAGGGATTATTTCTAATTCTTTAATATAATTAAAAAATTAGATTCCTGTAAGGGGTGATATTAAAGGAATGATTTAAAAATTTGCTTTATATAGTTTTTGTTTGCTAATAAACGATTTACCTTAAATGCTGATCCTGCAGTCGTCTATTGAGGTTCTTGCTATTTAAATATTCCAAACAATTTGAGGTTTTCAAATCCATAATTTCCATATCATTATAGGATTGTAGTAGAAATTTATTAAAGAATCTACGGAATTTTCCAAATTAACAAGGTCTTCATGGATGTTTTTATCGGTGAGTGAGCAATCATATATTGAAGACATTGCAGCATGAACGGTGTCTTGAAAATCGGCAACTGCTGATGAGGCACGATTAAGATACGAGTTAAGGGGAAGTTGTAGTAGAGAGTTATCTAGAGTTGAAGTAGTTTCTGGGGACGGTAAATTGTTTTGAGAGGAAGTTAAGGTAGTGGAGGAGGTGTTTGGAATAGTCAGGGATTCTGAGGAAGTTTGTTCGTTTTCTGGGTTTGTTAGATAAGGTTTAAAGATTGTTATAGGTTTGGAAGGTTTAAGAATAGGGGCGGTTTCAGTTGTAGTTTGTAGCGAGGGCGACTGTAATGTTTCAGGATTAGTTTGTAGTTGATCTTTTAAATTTATAATGGTTTGAGGTTTATTAACTTCTGTAGTTATTAAAGGTAAATTTCGGATGCATAGTACTGGTATCGAGCCTTGAAAACTACAGTTATTGTGCGTTAAATAGGGTTTATGGATCGTTATTGTTGTAGACTTTAAAAGGGGCGTGACTTTCGTAGTAGTTTGTTGGGCGGGTAATTGAAAACTTTCGTTATTATTTGGCGATTGGTTGTGGCCGGTTCCACACTCAATGTATTCCCTATAATGTTCAACTGCTTGGTATTCTTTAGCATTATCTTGTAATCGAAGATAATTCGGAATCATTTCACTGGTTGATTCCTTACTATTTCCTTGTGTAAATCTGTTATCGTTGTGATCGATTCTTTAGGGGTTTGTTCCCTTGAAATGTTGCTCTTTTGGCAGTTATATTCCGATCTTGGTACTGAACTCTTGAGGGAATTTTCACTGTTATTGTTACTGAAATCTGGGTTATTAATGCTAGTGGTTTGTATCGAGTTTTTATCGTAGAGACTCTTACAATGTCTGCAGTCTTTGGTTTGGTTTTCATCTGCGGTTCTCTGACAGTTAAGATCATAATATTTACTTTGTACTTGATTACTGGATCCAAAATTATAAGTGCCCGAAGTTTTTACCGTTTTCTTGTTCTCAACTCTGCTATAGTGTTCCATATTTCCTGATAATTAAAAATAAAGAAATTTCAATCAAGATTTGTCCAAATTTCATATAATTACCCTGATCTTTATCTCTTATAAAAACAATTTCTCCATCTGTCATATATCTAGTATTATCGGTGGAATTAGCATTGCCTATAACCTTTAAGTTGTCCCATTTTCCCTTAACGTCCTCTTTCGATTTCTTGTTAAAAGCTTTAGAATTTGTTATGGATTTTTGAGCTTTCACTGCATTGCAGTTAGATTTTGTTAGACCCTGTTGTTTCCTTAAACGTTTAGCAGCATTCTTATCGGTTTTACTCTCCTTACTTCTTTTTAGATCCGCCTGTTTGGGCTTTTTAAAACTATGATCTGTTATATTGTCCATTGCCTTATAATTTTGGTCCCTATAAGATCTTTTCCTATGTTTTCCTCTGGATCTTTTTACAAAATTTTCGGAGTTTTGTATACGTTGGCACCTTTTCTGCGTTGTGGAATCTTTGGCAAAGTCTGTATTTGTATTAATAGTTTTAAAATTTTGACTTTTGAAAAATTTTGATTTTAATTCTTTGGTACAATGTTGAGTTTTGTTTGTATAACGGTAGATGGGGGCTCTCTAAAATGGTAAAAAAATTTTATATTTTTAATACATGTTTTATTGGGATGGTGTGTGATTTTCAAAACATACCGGCATAAAGAGTCTGGGACTGAGTTTTGAGCGTATTTTATTGGAAGCTTCACTGTAAAGAAATTGCAATTAAAAGATACAACATTAGGAAAAGTATAGAGGCTTTAAGCTACTGCTCTATGTTGGGCATGGCCCCTACTCTACAAGACTTACTCTAGCAGAATCTAATCTACCGACAAGATTATAGACTTAACTATAAACTAGATAATAGAATAGAATAGACTAGTTTTTATACTAGACTATAGACTACACTATAGGCTAGACTATAGACTAGACTAAAGACTAGACTATAGACTAGACTATAGACTAGACTAAATACTAGACTATAGACTAGACTATAGGCTAGACTATAGACTAGACTATAGCCTAGATTATAGCCTAGACTATAGACTAGACTATAGACTAGACTATAGACTAGACTATAGACTAGACTATAGACTAGACTATAGACTAGACTATAGACTAGACTATAGACTAGAATATAGACTAGACTATAGACTAGACTATAGACTAGACTATAGACTAGACTATAGACAAGACTATAGACTAGACTACAGACTAGACTATAGACCAGACTATAGACTAAACTATAGACTAGACTATAGACTAGACTATAGACTAGACTATAGACTAGACTATAGACTAGACTATAGACTAGACTATAGACTAGACTATAGACTAGACTATAGACTAGACTATAGACTAGACTATAGACCAGACTATAGACTAGACTATAGACTAGACTATAGACTAGACTATAGACTAGACTATAGACTAGACTATAGACTAGACTATAGACTAGACTATAGACTAGACTATAGACTAGACTATAGACTAGACTATAGACTAGACTATAGACTAGACTATAGACTAGACTATAGACTAGACTATAGACTAGACTATAGACTAGACTAGACTAGACTAGACTATAGTATAGTCTATAGACTAGACTATAGACTATACTAAAGACTAGAATATAGACTATACTAAAGACTAGACTATAGACTAGACTATAGACCTAGACTATAGACTAGACTATAGACTAGACTATAGACTAGACTATAGACTAGTATAGACTAGACTATAGACTAGACTAGACTACTATAGACTAGACTATAGACTAGACTATAGACTAGACTATAGACTAGACTATAGACTAGACTATAGACAAGACTATAGACTAGACTATAGACTAGACTATAGACAAGACTATAGACTAGACTATAGACGAGACTATAGACTAGACTACAGACTAGACTATAGACGAGACTATAGACTAGACTATAGACTAGACTATAGACTAGACTATAGACTAGACTATAGACTAGACTATAGACTAGACTATAGACTAGACTATAGACTAGACTATAGACTAGACTATAGACTAGACTATAGACTAGACTATAGACTAGACTATAGACTAGACTATAGACTAGACTATAGACTAGAAGAGAAATGAAGACTTGTCAATAGAAAACAGATAGATGAAGATCGTTAAAGAAACTATCTAGTGATCGATGGAGAGGTTTTTTTCGGAAAACTGGTCTGCGTTTTGTGAAATAAATATTTCCATAAATATTTTTTCTATGGTAAACTGGACCATACATAACTGATCAATAAAAAGATTTTCTATAGAAAACTGATCGGCTAAGCAGCTTTAAATAAAAAACAAGATATTTTTGAGCTTTTCCGCGATTACCCAGAAAACACCGCTTAAAATTTTTTAATTTTTATTTAGAACAATAAATGTATATAAATATATTACACATACATGTAAATCCCGATTACAAATGACTCATTCTATTTCAAATATGATTACTTCAATTTCGCTCATGCTAATATTCCTAATTATTCAATAAATTTTATTTAATGTTGTAATATTAAAAATAAATTATTAATAATTAAAAACCAACGCACAAGATGTCAAGCTTAGACCACACACTAAGGCTCACTGAAACTGAAGACCGCAATAAAAAGCTATTATTAAATATTTATGCCTACAATGTTGTAAGAATCAAATTGCAATTTATTAATAGAAGTTTAAACTGTACCCCTGAGGTTATCGATTTTATTTTTTCATACATTGATATCTTAACTAACACCACAACTACTTGTTTCCACTACTTACATGCATCTCGAATGGCGAGCTTCCAAAATTAATTCCTTTCTTCTGGGTTCTCGATTTATTTGCATGGATTCTTGTAGAGCATTTGTGTCCATTATTTAGCTAAAGAAAATTTGTTTTAACAAATCGTAAGTAAGGTTTACTTTAAGGTTTAACTTATAATTTAAAAAAAAAATAAGTTATTTTAATTTTCTGTAAAAACGTTTATTCAAAATTGTAACTAAATGGGAAAAGGAACTTGTTGCTCTCTGGAGCAGTCAAAAAGAATTGTGTGAGCTCACAAAAAATATCCAACAGAATTTTATTTTTTGTAAATCTTGACCACAAATTGAACGATACTATTTTTTTGAGATTGTATTTGGATTTATGTTTTGAAAAAAGTGAGTTTGTGTGAGTGTAAGCATTTTGAAATACAGTCAAGGGTAAATGTTTGTCAACACTTCTAAACATAGTTTCTATACCAAGTATAGAATATATTACAGTCGAGACTATACAAGATACTAGACTAGAGGCAAGACTATAGAATAGTTAGACTGGAGAATAGTCCATAGACTAGACTATAGCCAAGACTATAGGCTAGATTATAGACTAGACGTTAGACTAGACTATAAACTAGACTATAGACTAGACTATAAACTAGACTATAGACTAGACTATAGACTAGACTATAGACTAGACTATAGACTAGACTATAGACTAGACTATAGACTAGACTATAAATTAGACTATAGACTAGACTATAGACTAGACTATAGACTAGACTATAGACTTGACTATTTACTTGACTATAGACTAGACTAAAGACTAGACTATAGACTAAACTATATACCAGACTATAAGCTAGACTAGACTATAGACTAGACTATAGACTAGACTATAGACTAGACTATAGACTAGACTATAGACTAGACTATAGACTAGACTATAGACTAGACTATAGACTAGACTATAGACTAGGACTATAGACTACTCGACTATAGACTAGACTATAGACTAGACTATAGACTAGACTATAGACTAGACTATAGACTAGACTAGACTAGACTAGACTATAGACTAGACTATAGATTAGACTATAGACTAGACTATAGACTAGACTATAGACTAGACTATAGACTAGACTATAGACTAGACTATAGACTAGACTATAGACTAGACTATAGACTATACTATAGACTAGACTATAGACTAGACTATAGACTAGACTATAGACTAGACTATAGACTAGACTATAGACTAGAATATAGACTAGACTATAGACTAGACTATAGACTAGACTATAGACTAGACTATAGACTAGACTATAGACTAGACTATAGACTAGACTATAGACTAGACTATAGACTAGACTATAGACTAGACTATAGACTAGCCTATAGTCTAGCCTATAGTCTAGACTATAGACTAACTATAGACTAGACTACTAGACTATAGACTAGACTATAGACTAGACTATAGACTAGACTATAGACTAGACTATAGACTAGACTATAGACTAGACTATAGACTAGACTATACACTAGACTATAGACTGGACTATATACTATACTATAGACTAGACTAGATTTAGACTATACTATAGTCTAGTGTATAGTCTAGACTTTTTGACTAGGCCTATAGATTATAGAAAAATAACTATGGATGAATGTCATGCCATCAAATTTAAAATCGTCTGAAAATTTTTGCTCTCAACTGTAAAATATTTATCAAATAAGTTCCTTTGTGTTGTGATGTGTTTTACACGCATTAGGTTTTGTTTACATTCCCAATGCCAACTGAACTACAGCACCCATAATAAGGAAAACAAAATTAAGAACGTATGTAGGGCAAGGACGACTCGTTAATACCTTACATCAGTTTTTTTTTTTAATTTTTCAAAATTTAAAATTCATTATGAAACATAAAATGAAAATTATTAGTTTTATATCTTAATAGAGAAGTATCATAGCTTCGAAACTTTGGGGTCAAAGGGTAAATAAGGAACTTTCTTAAAGAAAGCCTTTTAAAAACTTTTAATGGTTTCTGAAATAAAATTGTACGGAAGGACAGACATCTGTACATCAGTTCATTAAATGAGAGCGAGTTTCTCGATAAGTTGCCTAAAGTTTCTAGAATATATAGTATTCGTTATGTAGGGTATCGATCAAAATAAAAACAAATAAATAATCTTTGCAGTATTATTAAAAAAGAGAGCATGAATGCATAAACAATATTTGTATTATGGGCAATTAAATTTTTAAAGGAAATATACAAAATAATACTCATTAACTCTCTTGCATAAAATAAACTCACTAAAGACTGAAATAGCAGGGATAGATAATTCAATAGTAAGAACATTTTTCCAAAATTTTTATTTAAAAATAGCAAAGAAATAATGAAATTTAATACAATTTTTTTTTTATATTTGAAATCCTTGAAGTCCAATTTCATTTCAATCTTTCTGAAAAAGTCTAGTAATATTTTCCAAATTTCACTTTTCCATCCCCGTATATCCACTACAAGTGTAATGATTGTTTAAAAATGTTATATTTTATGGTTTTAAAAAAATGTTTAGTTTGGATTTTTAGCAAAGTTCAAATACATTTGAGAATTGTTATTGAAAAACAATAAAAATATGAGTGGAAATAAAATTTAATTATGGGGTCCAAGGAGTAAAAAATAAAAATTAGTAAGTATTTATGTATAGTGTTACTTCATAGGAATATTTAAAAATCTCTTCAAGTGGCTTGATCTTAGGCGACTCGTATTAATGTGACAGTTTGGCACTTTGTTGCGTGAAATATTGGTTTAAGACGTAAACTCTTTAAAAGTGTTGAATATACATATGTATGTATATTTCAATTGTTTTTTTAATGTTGGTTAATGTCTACAACTTCAGAGGAATAAATGTGTGATAGAGAAATGCACACTTTGGGATTGACTGGAGAATATAGTTGAAATTTAAGATTGTACCTTAGTCCAGATTACATCCGACATCAATAGTCGGCTTATGGACTGCACTATAATAGGACCTGGTGAGTAAGCTATAGTCCAGACTTTAGACTATACATTTGCAAGCCAATATAATGGATTGTAGTCGAGGCTGTAGAGTGGAATATATTAGTAATTAATGATTTTTCCGCAGTCGAGATTATTAAGTAACTAACTAACTAACTAACTAACTAACTAACTAACTAACTAACTAACTAACTAACTACTAACTAACTAACTAACTAACTAACTAACTAAACTACTAACTACTACTAACTAACTAACTAACTAACTAACTAACTAACTAACTAACTAACTAACTAACTAACTACTAACTAACTAACTAACTAACTAACTAACTAACTAACTAACTAACTAACTAACTAACTACTAACTACTAACTAACTAACTACTAACTAACTAACTAACTCTAACTAACTAACTAACTACTAACTAACTAACTAACTAACTAACTACTAACTAACTAACTAACTAACTAACTACTAACTAACTAACTAACTACTAACTAACTAACTAACTAACTAACTAACTAACTAACTACTAACTAACTAACTAACTAACTAACTAACTAACTAACTAACTAACTAACTACAACTACTAACTAACTACTAACTAACTAACTAACTAACTAACTAACTACTAACTACTAACTAACTACTAACTAACTAACTAACTAACTAACTAACTAACTAACTAACTACTACTAACTACTAACTAACTAACTAACTAACTAACTAACTACTACTAACTAACTAACTAACTAACTAACTAACTAACTAACTAACTACTAACTAACTAACTAACTAACTAAC